CTTGACCATTGTAAATAATGTTGCAATAAACATAGGGGTGCTTATATCTTTTCAAATTACTGCTCTCATTTTCTTTGGGTAAATATTCAGTAGTGGAATTACTGGGTCATATGGTATTTTATTTTTAATTTTTTTTGGAATTTCCATATTTTTTTCCACAGTGCCTGCACCAATTTGCATGCCCATCAACAGCGCAAGAGCATTCCTTTTTCTCCACTACTTTGCTAACACCTGTTACTTCTTGTCTTTCTATTCTAGCCATTCTGACAGGTAGAAGGTGATATCTCATTGTGGTTTTGATTTGCACTTCCCTGATGTTTAGTGATGTTGAACATCTTTTCATTTGTTGGCCATTTGTATATCATCTTCAGGAAATTGTCTGTTCAGGTCCTCTGCCAGTTTTTAAACCAGATTATTTGGGGGTTCTTGGTGTTGAGTTGTGTAAGTTCTTTATATATTTTTGATATTAACCCCTTATTGGATATATCACTTACAAATATCTTCTCCCATTTAGTAGCTTGCATTGTCATTTTGTTGATGGTTTCCTTTGCAGTGCAAAAGCTTTTCATTTTAGTGTAGTCTTAATAGTTTATTTTTGCTTTTGTTTCCCTTGCCTGAGGAGACATATCTAGAAAAATGTTTCTATGGCTGATATAAAAGAAATTACTGCCTATGTTTCCTTCTAGGAGAATGTATTTCTTCTAAATACAATTCAGTTCTATCAATACTGGGAGTTTGGTCCTGGGGTTAAATTAATTACTTATGTGTTATGACTCCAAGACTAGTATTTTCACCTAAAAATTATATTATCTATAAAGGCAAACTGATTAAAATGAATACATAATCATAAATACTGTTCTAAATTATTATTTTTATTTTTTTCTATTACATAATTCAATATGTTACTGAAAACAAAGCATGAGCTACAACTGATCAAAAAGTTAATCTTTCAAGGCTGGAAATCAGACGTGATTCTCAAATGCTAAGGAGTAAGGAAAGAAGAAAATAAGACAATTAATGATTGTATATTCCAGGTTCTTTCTCAGATATTACAAAGCCCCTACAGACTAACTGGGCATCTAAACATAATAACATCACCACTAAAATCTTTATTAAAACTGAATGGCATTCTCTTCTTCTGAAAAATGGAATACCACCAAAGTTCAATTCTATCTGCTGTACTGAACAGAGAAACCATTTACAAGATATAATGAAGCCAGAATCTCTTTAAAAATACATGAAGGGAAAATGTGTTTTCTTTATGAGCTTCACAAATTTGATGCACGTTCTAATTTCTTTCTGTTGTAGCTTCTAGGGTTCCATTGATCCTGTGGCGTGGGAGGACAGTTACAGTATGAATCTGTTACCAAAAGCTATATGACAGCATTAATTAAGTTGTGCTTTGGGAAAATGAAAGCAAGCAAAATGCGTATTTGCTTTTCTGCCAATAAATGCTTAAGTATAGCAATGTGCATAAATTCCTGGTACATTAATCAACTTGATTTTTTTTTCTTCTTTTGTTGGGTCTTTTGTTCTTTATTTATTCCCTTCCTTCCTTCCTTCTTTCTTTCTTTTGCTTTAGTGATAGCTTCTATACTTGTAATACAAGGGCAGTTAGCAGGGAACAGATATTAGGCATGGATGCACTATAACCCCTTATTTATAGAGAAGTTTAAGAAAAACACATGAAATAAAATTGAGTTTCAAGAACCATTGGGGCCCATAAGCAACCTTCTTAAATAATTTGTATTTTTTATACATGTGTTGGTGTCTAGTTTGTGTTTTGCTGGAAGGAGAAAAGCTGCTCTTTATAGTAAAACTCTTACTATATGAAGAATCATCTAGAGTCACCATTTTGAGGAAGGTGATCCCTCTTTTCATGATCATCTGTCTACATATCTTTCTTACATTCTTACTCTTATTCCAAATGAGCTTTCACTTCATTCGCCAAGTTGCCTTTCTTCCAAGAGAACATTTCTTTTAATGATGAAGTTGACAGGTTTTGTTTTGTTTTGTTTTAACTGTATCTGTGTAAAGGGACAAAGCATAAGGTTTAAACTCCTTCTGTTTGCTTACTTAGTCTTCATTTACCTCTCCTATCTTGTGTCTGGCCCTCCCCTACATCAAGACTGCTGTTCTCCTGTGATGTTCCTCTTGACATGCTGTTTTCATTGCCACATTCCATCCCCTGCCCCCTTGAGAATTCTTTTTTTTCTTTAAATTTTTTTATTGTTATGTTCATCACCATACATTACATCATTAGTTTTTGATGTAATGTTCCATGATTCATTGTTTGTGCACAACACCCAGTGCTCCATGCAGAACGTGCCCTCTTTAATACCCATCACCCGGCTAACCCATCCCCCAACCCCCCTCCCCTCTAGAACCCTCAGTTTGTTTTTCAGAGTCCATCGTCTCTCATGGTTCGTCTTCCCCTCCGATTTACTCCCCTTCATTCTTCCCCTCCTATCTTCTTCTTTTTTTTTCTTAACATATATTGAATTATTTGTTTCAGAGGTACAGATCTGTGATTCAACAGTCTTGCACAATTCACAGCGCTCACCATAGCACATACCCTCCCCAATGTCTATCACCCAGCCACCCCATCCCTCCCACCCCCCACCACTCCAGCAACCTTCAGTTTGTTTCCTGAGATTAAGAATTCCTCATATCAGTGAGGTCATATGATGCATGTCTTTCTCTGATTGACTTATTTCGCACAGCATAACACCCTCCAGTTCTATCCACGTCATTGCAAATGGCAAGATCTCATTCCTTTTGATGGCTGCATAATATTCCATTGTGTATATATACCACATCTTCTTTATCCATTCATCCGTCGATGGACATCTTGGCTCTTTCCACAGTTTGGCTATGGTGGACATTGCTGCTATAAACATTGGGGTGCATGTACCCCTTCGGATCCCTACATTTGTATCTTTGTGGTAAATACCCAGTAGTGCAATTGCTGGATTCTTATTCATTTTTAAGGTTTATCACATGTGTCTTCCTTTCCCAGCCCCCTCAGCCTCTCTCAAGTAAACTGACTTTTTTTTTGCATTATATTTTGTTAATGACAACATCATAGAAACTGCCATATTTTCTTTTTCAAATATTCATATATGGTCTCTAATTGGGCTGTGAATTCCATGAGGACAGGGAATGTGTCCTGTTCCTTCATTTTCTTTTAGATGTATTTGTTATGGTTGTTATTATTTTACCAAGGAATACTCGCAACAAATTATTTCTTTATATTTCCCTTCACCCCTTTGCCTTGAACTTCTATCAAAGTGAATGACAGGTATGTTCTGTCCCGTGATTATAACAAAATATATTTACTAACTGCTATTGTGTGTCAGGGCAGGCATTGCTCTTGGTGATATTCATACAGAAGTGAATAAGACAGAACCTCCAATTTAGTGGGGTAGGTCTTCTATGCTTAAAGACACTTGATTATTTAATATTAAAATAAATGGATTTTTAATATCAAGTATATAAAATATTGAAATCCTGCATGACTGCCTAACTAGTGGGAATGGATTTGAAGAGGAAAAGAAATCTACATTTCTTTTGTATCATTTAAATGGAAAACTTTATCAAAACCAAATGCATTATCTTTTTCTTATTTAAGTAATTTGCTAAAAGTAATGTTACATTTTGTTTACTTATTATTTGGGTTATGACTTTCTAGCTTCACCGTCTCTTTTTCCTGGTATTTCTAATTTCCTTTGCTTTCTTCTGTTTCTCAATGGTGTATAGAGTAAGAAGTAATTATTTTCAACAAATCAGTAAGTTGACCTATGGCTTAATAATATGTTTGTTAGGGGCGCTTGGGTGGCTCAGTCAGTTAAGCATCTGCCTTTGGCTCAGGTCAAGGTCCCAGGGTCCTGGGATCGAGCACCACATCGGTCTCCCTGCTCAGCGGGAAGCCTGCTTCTCCCTCTCCCACCCCCCTGCTTGTGTTCCCTCTCTTGCTGTCTCTCTGCCAAATAAGTAAATAAAATCTTTTAAAAAATAATATATTTGTTAAAAGACAATATCAGGCAGACTTCTTAGACTTTAGTAAGTCTATAATCCAGAGATTTTCTTTTAAGTGCACTCAAGGACTTTTCATAATTAATTGCTTACTTGAATTATTTTTGGCCCTGCTAAGGTATACCTTCAAATAATACCTTTTAGAATGTGAAGACTTTTTTAGTCTTCACATTCTAAAACTGTTATTATTTTGTTCACACTTGACTGGTGGTTTAGCTGGGAATGGGATTCAAATTTCAAAGCAGTTTTCAGTGGAGACATTGGAAACATTTCTGCATTTTCTTTAAATGTTTGGGTTTTTCTGGGGAGAAATCTGTTGCCCTTTTCTACCATACCTGCCTAAATTTCAATAAATCCCCCACATGCTCTTATCCCTAGAAAAGAAGGAATCATATATCTCATATATTTTTTCTTATAGTGCCTATAATGGTATTTCTACTAGAACAGGTACTCAGAAAAGACTGTTATTGATAGAAGATGATGATGATAACATGAATAATTTTATATTCATGTTAAAGAAATAACCACAAACCTTTCCCTCACCTCCTCCTCCTTAATTTAACATTTTCATCCATTCAGAAACCTGGTAGTCATCCTACATCTTGCTTATGCATATGATCCATTAAGTTAATTTGTTACCATTTATCAAGCATTTTCTGTGTGCTTGGCACAATTCTAAGAGTTGGGAACAAAATGGCAAAAGAAAAAAAATCCTAACTGCCCTGAGCTTCCTTTTCAGTGTCCTGGCAATAACAGCACTAAAGTATCTTGAATTATATATTTCTTTGCATCTCCATAGTTGCCATGTCCTCCCCATTCAGATGTTGAAGCCCTAATCACCAGTTTGAGGGTATTTAGAGGTGGGGGCCTTTACAATGTACTTAGGTCATGAAGGTGGGGCCATCACGAATGGGATTAGTAGAAGGAGAAAAAACATGCATGATGTCTTTCATTGTTATATGAAGGTAAAGCAAGAAGGCATCCATCTACAATCCAGGAAGAGGACTATCACCAGAACTCCATGCTGCTGACACCTTGATCTTGGACTTCCAGCCTCCAGAACTGTAAGAAATAAATTTCTATTGTTTAAGTCACCCAGTCTATGGTATTTGTTGTACCAGCTTGGACTGATTAAGGCAACAATGATTGTCATCTCTTGCTGGTACTACTAAAGTAGACTTCTTACTCATTCCTTCTAATATCCAGCTCCAGTAATCCTCAGACCTCACTAGAACCTATATATCATTAGCCCCACTCTCCTCATCCTCACTACCCACTTCTATCTCTCCACCTTTATACTTTTCATAGTTCTTATTTTGCTTAATTTCCCTGGTGATCATTGTTATCAACACCTAGCATATGTCCTCACCACTCCTCATGTGTCAAATTCTTGGTTAAATTGCAACCCTTGTTCAAATTCATCTACCCACCAATTTTGCTCATGCTCCCATGCAGCTGAGCATGGCTAGAGACAAACACACAGCTCTAGACTTCACCACACTCATTGTCTTTTCCTACCTTCCACAGAATTCACCAAGTAAGTTCTTTCCTGTTGGACACTTTTGTCTATGCTGTTCCCTTGTCCTGGAGTCTCCTCCTTTGCTTTTCATATGATTCACTGCTCCTCATTCTGTAGCTTTCAGTTCAAATATCACTTCCTACAAAGTCCCTTCCTGACTGGTATTTTAAAATAGAATGTATATAGATATATTCTATTTTATATTGATGTATTTTTATTTCCTCGAACCGTCTAATAACATCCTGTTCTTTTATTTCACAAAAAAATAGGATTAGAAAGAACACAAATTATATTAAATTGATTTTATTATGGTGTTTAAAGCAAATTTTGTTGCAGTAATGTTTGTGCTTCTTTATTGCATTTAATGACATGATCATACTTTGTATCTAGTAATTATGATTTCTCAATAGTGATGGTAATAAATGATAACTTGGGATATCCATAACAACTGTAATATAATACAAGAAGATCTGTGACTTCTGTTGGTGAAAATTTCTCAAGTAGTACTGATATGATTATTAGTTTATTGAAGGAAATGCTAAATATTTCACTTAAAGGTTTTGAAGAGGTCCCTTAGTTAAAAAACCCTGACTTATACAAATCCCTCATTTTGTGAATAAGAACTCTTTTTATATCCTAAGGTTTTGTGCATGAAAATGAAAGCCTGTTCTCCCCACTCTCATTCCAGTGCTGAAAGGCCACACATGGTCTCTGAAGTAAGTAACACAGGATGGATAACATTGAAATACTGGAAGACAACATCACGTATAGCAGTGCTTTGTTAGGTCCTTAAAAATCTACAATTGCAATTATTACATAGTAAATGAAGCATGAAGGTACTTGTACCTGACCCTACCACTGTTGTACTCCACTCCCCTCATTTTATTTCTCTCCTTGGGCCACTGATCATTAACTGAAAAAACTTTAATATTTCTAAGATACTAAATATCTTACTTTGTCTTTTTGTTAACTGTTTTACTGTCTACCCTATTAGAGAGAGTGTAAGCTTCATAAGAACAGGGATTTTCGATGTCTTTCATACCACTGTATTCCTGTGGGAACAGTATTGCCTGGCACATAAGGGTGCCAAATAACATTGTTGAATGAATTGACCAAAGTTATAAAATCCATTGCATAGAAAATCTTTATTTGTATTGCATTTTTTTTTAGAATTCAAAAATAATATAAAATGGTTTAATGAATAAAAGTCAAGATTTCTTAATTGCTGGCCAACAAGAAGATAATGTAAAAATAACCATCTATCATGAGACCTACTAATATAAAAATACAGTATAGAATTCTTCTTCTTCTTTATTTTAAAGATTTTATTTATTTGTGTGAGAGAGAGAGAGAGAGAACAAAAGCAGGGGGAGCAGCATGACGAGGGAGAAGCAGGCTCCCTGCTGAGCAGAGAGCCCAACATGGGACTCGATCCCAGGACCCTGGGATCATGACCTTAGCCCAAGGCAGACACTCAACTGACTGAGCCACCCAGGCGCCCCAGAATTATTATTCTTAATATAAAGGATAATAAACTTTCAGGGGCACCTGGGTGGCTCAGTTGGTTAAGTGGCTACCTTCAGCTCTGGTCCTGATCTCGGGCCCCTGCTCAGAGGGGAATCTGCTTCTCCCTCTCCCTCTTCTGCTCCCCCTGCTTGTGCTCTCTTGCTCATGGGTGCTCTCTCCCAAATAAATAAATAACATCTTTTTTAAAAATATAAAAGAAAATAAATTTTCAAATCATGATTATATCAGATCATACCAAAAAAATTTCATAACTTATTGGTAAGGCTCAGTAAGTAAGGAAGTGTATTCATTTAACTACTTGCATTCAGAAGAGTATATATATATATAGTACTGGGCATATATTTTACTTGAAAAGCAAACTTATAGTTTTTTGGAGTAAGTTTGCCTGAGAAAAATATATCTATTTATATATCAGCCGCTAGAATTCACTAAAGGAATCTTCAGATCTTCGTGCAGGTAGGTGGAAGATGCACTTGTTTAAAATGAAAGGCGACATCAGGGAAGCGGGTAGGAGGAATGAGTGAAATGGTGTAGGCAGGAGCAAAAGCACAGCAACGGGAAAGAGAGGTATTTGACCTTGATGTGGGTGGTGAGAAGGCAGTGAAAAATGTGCTTTAGGAATAAAAATGAGAGGCGCTTGGGGAAAAAAACAACAACAACTGAGTTTTAAAAGATCATTTACTGTAGGGCCAGGAGAGCCAAATGCACAGTGAAACAGTGCTAGGCTGTGCTTACAGCTCCCTTAGAGATGCTGCGCACACTGTCACCTCGTAGCAGACGTGAGGAATTTGTCTGCCGCTATCATGTAGGACAATCAGTTCATGCACCTCTCCTGGCATGATGAGCTCTTTGCGAAATGAAGGAGTACTTAAGACAGACAAAAATCATGCTATGACAATCTCTACTCCCTCTATTATTTCTTATTAAAGATCCCTCTTGATTCCAGTGAAAACCATTAGAGTGGTTGAGAGAATAGACATTGAAATCCAGCTCCAGGTTTCCCATTTACCAGCTCTGCAACATTGTGCAAGTCCCGAACCTCCCGACGTCTCAGTTTTTGCTGGGGTAAGATGAGTCATTGCAAAAGCAGGGGCTAACATGAGGTCCAGCACAGAGATGATTCAACCCCAATAAGCATTGTGGATTACTATCGATTTTTGCTGCTGCTGCTGTTGTTTTTATTATTATCCTGAGTCAGATCTAAATCTATTTGATTTGACTGGTTAGTTGCTTGTTTTTTGTTTTTTTCCCAGTTCTTTCTAAAAAATGTTTGGAGAGACTCCATCATTTTTTGTTCCAGTATCAAGGAACTAATATTCTATCTAACACCATTTTATTTCATAACTTATATTTACATTGCAGTGGTTAAATAGGTCTGAATTTACTGCAATTTATTCAATCATATAGAGGTTGAAATTATTTTACTAAACATTTAGAAACAGAAACATAATATCACTAAGTATACAGTGATTCAGGCATATAAAATGATGGTTAAACAATATTAAATTGGCTGAATTTCCCCTACACTTACTCAATTACTAGTAGTTTCTTGCTAATTTCTATTTCTAACATGACTCTTAAGCACAGAAATATCTAGAGAAAACAGACTTCTTTCTCAGGTCTTGATTTTCCCAAGGAGTTCATATGATTTCAATCAAGTAATTTCAAATTTTGCAAAGCTAATCTGTACTAAACTAGATAATGCTAAAGTGTACCATCAAAACAACTGATCCCATTTTAATAAAATATCCTGCTTCTCAGATGAAAGAAAAAAAATCTCCCAGTCATGAATTAATTCCATACCAAGTGTTTAATATCCATTCAGTATTGGTATATAGTTTATGTAAGCATAACTACTTTTTCTGAAGATTCTTTAGAATGGGTTTGAAACTATTATTTAATTTTTCTACCTAAGCTGTACTTGGCATTTGCGGAAAAAGTATTGTCAATAAATTAGGACAACCTATTTATTTGACTAATTTATTTATCTATAACTCACTTTGTTCCAAAAGAACAAAGTCTATAATCAGGTAGAATCCAACTTACTGTAGTTGAAGTTTCCACTGATTATTGGATCTTTTCTGTAAGATTATGAAAGCAGTCAATTAAAGTTTGATTAAGAATTAATTGAAAATTGAGGCCATCCCTCAACTGGCGTTTCAACTATAAGGTGACTGCTACTGGATGCCATGTCTGAGCAGAAAATAAAATGAGTGAATATGTGGATGTGGGAAAAACAAATTCATGGTAGAAGCTTATGGTAAAAGTGTAAAATGTTTTCTTATCTACTCAAAGCATTACACTGCCCTGTCATTCATCTGGGGAAAAAAAAGAGAAATTGTTTTAATAAAACATTTAATTTATTTAAAATAAAATATAAAATGAGGTTTTGAAAGTTTACATTAGGAAAATGCATAAATTCCTAGAAGACATGTATAAGAATATTCATAACATTTATACATGATAAGCTCCAAACCAAAAACAGCCCACATATCCAACAAGAGTAATATAGGTAAGTGATCTATAGTTTATTTTTACAGTGGGATAATATACAGAAATGAGAATATTAAAAATTACTAATATTTAAGAAAATGTGAATGAATCTCATGAAAATATTTAATAAATCAGATGTAAAAAGCATGTTCGCATGTTTCATAGAAAGTTCAAAAACCTGCACATGATAACTTGCATTAAAAGTATCCGTCTTTAGAAGTGTTGATATGGGTTCCCCTGAGGGTGAGAGTGAAGTAAGGTGAGAGGTGACATGGGAGTGTAGGGGCGTCCAGGACGGTGGTTGTGTTCTGTTTATGATATGCGCGCTGCTTACACAGACGTATTCACTTTGTAAAAATTCACTTAGCTGTATACTTATAATTTGTGTACTTTTCTGTGTGCAATAAAAAATGCTTCAAAATAGAAAAATGTCAGCGTAGATTGTTCAATGCCTCCCACTGTAACATCCATCGGTATAATATGCCTGTGGAAAAGCTGGAGTGTTCTGGACTTCTGAATAGACAGCCCATTCTGAGTAAGGGGACCATCCATCAACACTATGACTAGTTGAGAGCTGAAACAAAATTGGCATCTTCAATTGACTCCTCTCTAAAGATCCGAATATTTTATTTTATTTTTTTAAGATTTTATTTGTTTATTTGACAGAGAGAGACACAGCGAGAGAGGGAACACGAGCAGGGGGAGTGGGAGAGGGAGAAGCAGGCTTCCCACTGAGCAGGGAGCCCGATGTGGGGCTCGATTCCAGGACCCTGGGATCATGACCTGAGCTGAAGGCAGAAGCTTAACGACTGAGCCACCCAGGTGCCCCGATTCTAATATTTTAATAGATGAACATACTTCACAGGTGCTGAACCGTCTAGCAAGATCAGAGTTACGTTCTGTGAAGTGAAAGTTCTCAATTCTTAATTGTTTTTTCTCAATTGAAGGTGCGAACACTTTAACTCATGTATTTTCACAAGTACTGTAGTTTTGACTTGTTGAGCACCCTTCTTAGACAAATATTTTCGCAAGATAAAATTCATCAAATAATATCTCTTTGTGTATTTTGATTGGTTGCCAAACTTAGGTGCTGTGAAATTGTAAGGCTTCTTAATTTCCGTTCCTTCCCTTATAGAATATAAATTTATCAAATTAAAAATAGGAACGCAATCAAAAGAGACTTGTACAAGTGGAACTATTCTAAAGCGCAATTACAAAATTAAATCTTCAACACTATGTAAACTCTCATCATCCAATTTGTTCAATTCCTCCCTTGCTTTCACGGGGACAAATTTTAATGTTTTCCTGTTCCCATTCTATTTTAAATAAAACTTTGATTCAATAAAAGCTTCAAAAGCCAAAGTTAATGGGGGCTCTATTTATTTAATACTTTGATGAAAGATTTCAAAGAAATTTTAAAAGAAATGTAAACAAAATTCAAAGGGCTGATATACCAAAACATTTAAAAGGTATCATAGTATATACAGTTGATTCACAAAGTAGACTTCAAAAGCTCATCTATGTTTAAAATCAAATTGATGAAAGGAATCTAAGTCAGAAAACATACACTGCAAAGCTGAAGTAGTCTTTTGTGTTCAACATCTGCTTCATTTCAGAAAAGTTACTTTCCCTATGTCTGTATAAAAGTAGTTACACATTTTGACACTTCAACTTCTTTTTGGATTGGTATAATAATGAAGCTAGTTTCTGCACTATTATAAATTAGGTGTTTATCACAACCAATTCCAAGAACATTTCTATTCCTTAAATTTTCTTAATTAGTAAGAACCTGGTTTTTCCTCCACAATGTGCTCCAGCAAAAATTGGATTCACAC